AGTTCAGGCATTTCAATCCAAAAATAACTTCATAATTTTTAGTGGGCAATTGAAAACAAAAACAGAACATTTTTCCTTTGGGAACTATTTTTTTCTAGCATAGAGATAGTGTTAGAAAAATTCCCTGTTTGTTCCAAAACAAACTTAATTTTCTGAACTGTCTTTTATAGTTTTGTATCTAATCTAAGCTAAACTAATTTAATCTCAAATATTTTAGAGCAGTGGCCAGTAACCTATTGCCCACAGGCTGGATCCAGCCTGAAAAGGTCTGATTTAGTGTGGGAGATGCAGTGGGCACTGATTTAAAGGAGCTGCATTAATTGATGATTTAAAAGGGGCACATTAAAGGGATTAGTTCAGGCTTCTTGTTCTGTGCCTTTGCTGCTGAATTTGCCATTCCACACTGGTATTTGGAATACCTTTCAGTGGGACCTGGTAAGCAGAGTGGGGCAAAGAGCAGGGGAAGGATCAAAGCAGCAGGGGACTGGCAACCTGTGGCAACAGCTGGATCTGCTGCTCTAAAAGGTTGCTGACCCCTGTTTTAGAGCACCAGCCATGCTAATGTTTAACTGAATTCATCTCTGTGAAACAATTTGTGGGGAGGTATCTTGGTCCAGGTCCTAGCGCAGAGGTGTATCACAAACAACACTCTCATGATCAGCACCTTTGCTGCAGAGTATTCAAGGACTTAACAGGCCTGGAATATGAACATTCCCCAATATTAAGACATCTGATCAGAGTCAGTGTGGAGAAAGCTTTCATTCTTAGGTTTGTGGTATCAGTGATCTCTGGATAAAAAGAGGATGCATTGCTGTCAACCTAGCAGCTTTCAAAGAATGACACTCACTTTGTAGCAATCATGGACTAAGGTGAGGGTGGCTAAATTTTCTAACCCTTCTAGCCACAGGTCTTGCCATGAACATGACCCAGAACCAGTGATCTACTTACCGCTCCCCGGCTATTTATTAATTTGCTGTTAGATGACCCTTTAGAATAAATAATAAGTAAGAATGAAAAAAATAGAAATTAATAACTGAACAGACAGTGGGGAAAAATGTATTTATTTAATTGCTTCTCTTTTTTCCAGGAGTCACATATCAACTGCCCAGAGCCACACATGGCTTGTGAGCTGTAGTTTGGCTATTCCTTGGGCAACAGGCTCAAAACTAGAATGTAAAATTAGAGTAGCTCTGAGAACCACTCTAATTAAGGAGCCCAGAGCACCTCATGTGTCAGCGTCCCTGTGCTTCGAAATGGCTCATTGAATGAGCTTTAGATAAAATGTCCCTGCCACCATGTTGAAGGATCAGGACACTAATATACAAGATGCAGGAGGCTGATGGAGTGCAGTAATTGCCCCTCTTCAGCAGACTTGATTAATCGAATCTACTCCAATGCGCTGGAATTACAGTGCATTGGAGCAGCCTCACTGCTCATGTATAGGAACCCTAAAGTGCTACCCTGCCCTGCCTTCTTCTTCTTATCTGGCGAGGTAAATCCTTCAAGTTAGGGATGAGGCATGATGACAGGGTAGTATAGGGGAAATATACCTGCCCAACTGATTTTAAAGATCCCTTTAATTTTATTTGAAATGAAAATAAAAAATTGAAAACTACAGAAATAAAAGAAAATGCGGAGAACTATGAATAAAGATCATTCTGAGGATACCTAGTTTTAGGCCAGTGACTCACCAGTCATGGATACTCAGCACTCCTAAAATTCCTGCTTTGCCCAAATTCCTGCTTTGCCCACCACTCAAAGGTTCTGCAAGTGCTCCTGCCAGTGACTGGCATTTATATGGTATCTTTTGTCCAAAGACCTCCAAGCACCTAATAAAATAAGCAACTGATTGCTAACTATATATACAACGATCATTTTACTCACCATTGAAATTTAGCTTCCTCTGGGATGGGAGGCAGTATTTTAAGCAGGGGTTGGTACTATTATTTAACAGTTTTGGCCAGAAATTGAAAAGCATCATATTCCATGAAGCTAGAATGGAATTTTAGATGGACAGAATTTAATTACCCAACTAGAATTTAATTGGGATAATAGGATATATTACATCCCTGCTCTTACAAAAAGTGCCATGGGATTTTTTTAATTGCCACACTTAGGACCTTAGTTTTACCTCTGAATTGAAAGATGGCATCCTTCAACACGTGGTTTCTCTTAAACTCCAACCTGGGATTGGTTCAATATTGGCTCACAAGTAAGAGTGGCACCTACTGAGTTTTGTGTGTATAGCTTCCTGTGGCAGTAGCTTTTTCCTGTGGTCTTATAACACTCAAGTATATTATAAAAGAGGGCTATTGCAGGTCCACTACAAACAGACAGGGCAGAGGCTTTCCCTTCTCTGTACCAGTTCCATTAGATTTCAGCATGGATTGACAAGTCGATAAGTAGTCAGGTCAGTCATCTGCTGGCTGCAGGTCAAGTGGAGCATATTAAGTGGAGATTATTTGTAGTGCATCAGAAAAAAAGTAAGCAATTTTTTTCCAGTTCAACTCAGAATGCATGCTTGGAGGAACAGCTCTGCTGATGTAACTCAGTGGTGAGTATATGTTACAAGGTTCCTTGCTGCACCAGTGTGCAGAGGATATGAGTCAGTTTCAGCCCCGGTGAGATTTAAGCTGTAGCAGCTCATACTTTTCTCTCAGGAGGTCCCTGATTCAACTTCTAGCACGATGGCCACAGCTGCGGTTGTCCCAGGTACTGACTCAGCAGCCGCTGAGCAGCTTTTTTAATCTGTTCGCTCAGGTTCCATGAAAGATGGATACAGAGATACAGGGCATATCTACATAAGATGCTACCTGTGCAGTAGCTTAATAATACTGCTCAGTAGCATATCACAGCATGGACAGTGCTAATACACTATTGCACGGTATTATTAGGCTACTGCACAATAGCATCACTAAAAAGGCATTTGGTGGCATTACTGTGCAGTAACTCCAGTTACTGTGCACTTATTTAACACTTGATTATACAAGTACTAAATTAAATGCTCAGTAACCACTGTGCATTAATGAATGTGTAGAGGCACCCACAGAGGACCAAATTTTTCTCCCATTTAGTAACGTTAATGGAGCATCACAGGTGCAGAGGAGAGCAGGATTTGGCCTACTCCAAAACTTTTGGCCTACTCTAAGTCTTCTGACCTCAGCCAAATCAAGACAAATTTGGAGGAACTAGAATCTAATGAGAAAAATGTGGCCCCATAGTACTTAGTTGGCTGCTGTTCCCTGCGTGGTTCCCAGGGCTACAAGAAACGGTTCAAAACATTTCTTATCCCAGAAGACTAATTAAAGAAACACTGTGCTTTAACAACTACTTGCCCTTGTAGTCAGAAAGTTAATTTCTGATTTGAGATACACAGATGAATACTGCTGTTAATGCCCTCAGGTTGTTATTTTCCATTAATTCACGCCCTAGCTCTACAACCTCACTCTGAGAAAGGCTAGTCACTGGCAGTGGCAGTGCTCTCACATGCCTCGTGTTGGGGCACCCCATCTAGAATAAACAAATATCTTTATGATGAGGTCATAGATTAGAGCACAAATTATTTCATATAGTCACAGACAACCTGGTCTTAATCATGCGAAGTGAGGAACATTTTAGTTCTGACCCTACAAAGAGATCATCTGGCTTGCATTGAAGCTAAAGGTGCTGCTTATGTACACAGGTTTAAGTGCTTTGCTGGATTGAGAACTGAGTGCTTAGCACTTTGCAGGACTTAACTGATCCAACATCAGTCTAACCCTGCTGATGCCTCTTGGTATTCCTGGGATTCATAGATTCATAGAAGTTAGGAGCTGGAAGGGACATCACAAGATCATCAGGTCCAGCTCCCCTGCTCTAAGGCAGGAAAGACTGCTGGGGTCAGATGACCCCAGCAAGCTGTGCATCCAGTCTTCTTTTGAAGATCTTCGGGGAAGCTGACTATGCCACCTCTGGAGGGATTCTGTTCCAGACTCTGGACACACAAACTGTAAAGAAGTTTTTTCTTATTGTCAGGTATTGGAGTCACTTGCAGATCTGTAGGACGCCGCCTGCTGCTCGACTAGGATGTTATCGGTTCTAATTGATGATCTACACGCCCACATTTCGCCTGCCATGACTTGACATTAACGGAGTTGGTTCATTACCTCCACGTGTAGTCCAATTAGTAGTCTCACCGTTGTCCCGCGGGGTCCCGCATTCCTGAGGGCTACGCCACCCCTACACTCTCCCCCGTTCCACCGGGTTCTGACCATCCAGTTGGTCCTGCCACGTGTCCTCGGTTCCAATCAAACACTCAACAAAAGACTGAAAAGAAAACAAGAAAACAAAGAAGGTTTCCCTGGCCTGTGTCAGTGTTCCTGCTGTTTGCAACCAAGATCTAAACCAAAATTGACCTTCGTGTGGTCAGTCCCTCTTTGGTGGCTCTCTCTCTCTCACAGCCTCTTGTGGAGGTCGCCACGATTTCTTTTAACACCTTGAGTCCATCTTGTTGGCTTGTGCCACTTTTACATGTATTACGGTACCACGAAAGTCTATAGTGCCCCTCTATTAGGGCTATTACGGTACCATTCTCACTGCAGGGCTCTGCCAGCTCCCCGCGTAAACCAACAGTTCTGCACCCCGCAGGGCCAATAAACTTGGCTGTAAGTCCCCGCTGGGGTTTTTACTCTGTGCAAGAGTCTCCTACCAGCACACCACATCGCTTTCAGAGTTCCCTGAAGCGTGTGTTGGCTCGCTCCTCCTCCTCCTCCTCTTTCCGGTTCTGCGCTCCTCCCGCTTTCCTGTCCCGGGCTCTTCTTTATACCGGCGCGGGAGTTCTCTGCCCCTCCCCCCCCGAAGCACCTCGGTCAGGGAGATTTCTGCTGGGCTCCTTGGGGCTGTGGACCTGGGGCTGCTGAACCTTTGTTTAGCCCAGGTGCTTTGGAGCCCGGTGGCTCCTTCTCTCTCTCACATATGCTGCCCCTCAAGACACCGCAAGGTGCTTCACCTTCTTGCCTTACTATGTTCCCATTCAATTTGTTGCCTTCTTCTTCTTCCTCTCTCCTTATCCCCTCATTCGGGTTTTCTTCCTCACAACGCGATAGGAAGTCCGCCATTGTATTCACCTTTCCTGGCCTGTATGCAACGTAGAATCAAAAAGGTTGGAGAGCCAAGGAACACCTCATTATGCGGGCATTATCTGTTTTTGCAGTGTTTAACCATCTCAAAGGTGCATGGTCAGTTATCAACTTAAATTTGCGACCCAACAGGTAATACCGAAAATAGTCCACCCTCCAACAGATAGCAAGACATTCACGTTCCACAGTGGAATACCTTTTCTCGTGTTTGTTCAGTTTCCAACTAGCGTAAGCTATTGGCTGCTCCACTCCAGCAATGTCCTGAGATAAAACTGCTCCTAGCGCGAACGCTGACGCATCAGTCTGCAGAGTGAAGGGCAGTACGAAACTGGGGGTATGGCGAATTACCTCTTGGTACAAGGCCTGCTTAAGGTCTTCAAAGGCTCTCCGTCAATCTGCATTCCATCTGATGCCATATGACCTTTGTCTTGACTAAAGGGGTTGCTATCTCCGCAAACTTAGGTATAAACCTCCGATAGTAACTTGCAAGCCCTAAGAAGGCCCGCATTTGTTTCTTTGTCGTAGGAGTGGAATATTCTCTAATAGCTTTCACTTTGTCAGCAAGGGGTCTCACTCGTCCTTGCCCCACTAAAAATCCTAAATATTTGGTTTCTCTCTTTCCCAGTGCACACTTCTTTGGGTTCGCTGTCAGTCCTGCTTGCCTAAGCTCGAGTAAGATAGCCCTTAAGGCCCTTAGTTGTTGTTCCCATGATTCCGTGTAAATTACGATGTCATCAATATATGCGGAGGCATAACCTTGATGTGGAGCGAGTACCCAATCAATCAGCCTCTGGAAAGTGGCTGCCGCCCCATTAAGCCCAAATGGCATTCTTTTAAATTCAAAAAGGCCCCATGGTGTACCAAAGGTGGTCTTGGGTTGGTCTTCCTTTCTCAAAGGCACTTGCCAATAGCCTTTGGATAAATCTAATGTTGATATAAACTTCGTCTGAACTATACGCTCTACTAATTCGCTCACCTGTGGCATGGGAAATGCATCAAATTGCATCAGGGCATTTAGCTTACGAAAATCTACGCACAGCCACAGACTCCTGTCGGGTTTTGTCACAGCTACTAATGGACTACGCCATGGGCTGTGTGATGGTGTGATGATCCCCTGAGCTAACATCTTTTCCAGCTCCTCTTTAATCAGTTGGTACCTATGGTACGGGATCCTCCGCCATTTCTCTCGTACTATATGACCTTCTTTGTTCACAATTTTATGTTCAGCCCCTGCAGCTCTACCCGGCCTATCCATGAAGACATCCCCAAACTCTTTGATTATACCTTGCAGCTGTTTCCGCTGTCCTACCTCCAATTGCCTCCCCACAGGGACCCTATCACCATCTCTGGGGTCTCCTGGATTGTCCGTAACCTGGTGCCCAAATTCCTCCATCTCAGGGTCAGGAGAAATCAATAGGGCCTTGGGCTCGTGCCACTCTTTAAGAAGATTTAAGTGATATACCTGTTTCTGTCTCTTGGCCCCTGTGCGTAATACCTCGTGATCTACCGGTCCTACTCTTCTTAGTACCATGAAAGGGCCTTGCCAACAGGTCAAGAATTTACTTGTTGAGCTAGGCAACAGCACCAACACCTTTTGCCCCACTTTTAACTCCCTCTCCTTAGCGTGCATATCATATCTCTCCTTTTGTTTTCTTTGTGCCTGCTTCAAGTTCTCCTGTGCCACCTCCCTTACCAACTGGAGGTGCTCTTTTAAATCCCGCACATACTCTGATGCACCTCTTTCTGTGTTCGGGTCTGCCTCCCACTCTTCTCTTACTACATCTAACAGACTCCTGGGCCTGTGTCCAAAGGTTATTTCAAAAGGGGAATACCCCAGCGATGCTTGTGGGGCATCCTTAATCAGAAACAGCAAAGGGGGGACCATCAGGTTCCATTTTTTTGGTTCTACCTGGGCACATCAGCGCAACATCCCTTTAAGGGTACCGTTAAAGCGTTCCACCAGACCATTCGTTTGAGGATGGTACACTGCCGTCCTTAAATGACGGAACTGTAACACTTTACGCATGGAACCCAATACTAGGGATATAAAATTAGACCCCTGGTCGGTAATAATCTCCCCAGGGATACCAAATTTTGCCACCCATTTCATTAGTTCTTCTGCAACCCTGGGTCCTGTCACTGCTCGCAAGGGGATAGCCTCCGGAAACCTAGTCACATAATCTACTAGCACTAAAACGAACTGGTGTCCCGCTACTCTCCGAGGCAAGGGGCCTACTACATCTAAAGCCACTCTAGCAAATGGCTCTCTAACCACTGGCATCGGCTGCAATGGTACCTTGGGGGGCTTATAAGTGCTCACCTTCTGACATATTTCACAGACTTGACAGAATCCTTCCACTTCTTCATACAAGTTGGGCCAAAAACACCATCTATCTAGGTGAGCTTCAGTCTTGTTTTTGCCTAGATGTCCCCTCAAGGGATTCCTATGAGCTAAGTGTAGAAGTGGCTCTCTGTAAGGTCTGGGTATAATTAACTGTGCCACCTCCTCCCCTTCAGCTTTACCCCGCTTAATCCGGTATAACAGACCATTATGTATCTCACACTGGGGCACCAGGTTATTTTGTTTGGGGAGCGTTACCTGCTGGTCGATTCTCACCTGTTTGGTTTCCCTGAAGGCCCACAGTTCTTCATTGCTCTCCTGCACCTCACGGAATCAACTGCTACTGGCCAGTGTTTGTATCTCCATTTCTTCTTCCATCTCTGGACCTGCCCCAACTAGTCCTTCTCTAGTGCCCTTGGAGTTATGGAGCGATTCTAAAACTTCAAACATTTCTGGCCAGTCTCGACCCAATATCATAGGATACAAAATTTTTTCTTCCAATCCCACCTGGATTCTTCTGCTGACCCCACTGACCTGCATGTGCAATAAACTACGTTCATAATATGCCTTTTGTCTATGGAGGCAGACCATCTGCATGCCGGCATATCTCGGGGCTTGTTTCCAAGTGATCAACGATGGGCGAACCAGAGATTGGGCACACCCAGTATCAACCACGGCCTGAACCGGCTGCCCTTCTACCCACACAGTCACCTCGGGTAGGGGTTGTACCATACCTGTCAAACTGTCCCCCACACCACAATCCATAAGTTCCGCCTCTTGTGCTTCCCCTGGTTCTGTACGATGGTCTGCGGGTTCTGTTACATTTCCTCTTGGTCCTGGTATCGGCCGTAAACCCTGGGAACAGTTTCGGGCTATATGACCCCTTCTCCCGCAGGTGAAGCAGACCAGCCCCGCAGGACTTCCTTTCTTGTTTCCTTTATTCTCTTTTTCGCCTTTTTGGTTTGCCTCCTGCCCATGGCCTGTCCCTGTCCCTCTCATACCTCGATCCCGCTGCATTTCTCTTTGGGCCATATCAAAGTGTTTGGCCAATTGCAGGGCTTCTTGGGAAGACTTGAGGCAATGGCATCTCACCCATCTCTGGGTGTCTTTCAGGGGTTATATTAAGCCTTTGCAATATCTCGCCCTTCACCTTATCATAGTCCTGGGCGTCTACCCATGTCATGACCCTATAGGCCGCCTGGGCCTGACCAATCAACAGGACCCCTAATTGTCCAGCCCATGTC